AAAACTCAAGTCAGCACGCTTCTGAAAGGCCCTAAGCAATACAGAGAGGGCCAGAGACCCCCAGGACACTCCAGTCTGAAAGAATCCAGAAACATGACAAGAGATAAAAATAAAAAAAAATCTCCGGCTGCCCAACATGAGAAAATAAGCCCAGGAGAAGTAAACACTGAAGAAAACAAGCACAGTAAACATCCAATACTGGACACAGCATCAGCCGAAATTAAAAAATACCTCCATGACCTCATAGATGAATTTAAAGCTGTACTCCTGATCCAAGTGAGGCAAGATATAAAGAGATTAATTAAAGAAATGACAAGCCCCACCCAAGAGAACACAGATGGAAGAACTGAGGAAATCAGAAAAGAAAGAGAAGCATCTGAAGAAGAGTTTAAACATAACTTAGAATACATGAAACAGATCCAAAGAGATTACCAGGAAAGTAAAAACTCCATTGAATACTGGCAAAATATCCCGACAGAAACTAAAGCCAGCCTTCTGAAACTTGAAGAGAGATTTATGGCATATGATCGTGAAAGAAAAAGCCTCTTAAAAATAACAAGGAACCAGAAAGAAATAATTCAAAGGCTAGAAGATGACAAAAAGATACAAAACTTAAGAATAAAGAATGTGAGTGAGGAAGCAGGAGCAACCAAAAATGAAATACAAAGAATATTCACAGATATATTAAAGCAAAATTTCCCATGTATAGCAAAAAGAAATGATATCCAGATAAAAGAGGCATACAGAACACCAGCTACCTACAACCAAAACAGATCTACTGCTAGACATATAATAATCAAGATTCCAGAAATCCACCAAAAGAACAGAATATTAAAAGCAGCCAGAGAAAAGAAGCAGATTACCTACAATGGGAAAATTATCAAAATAACAACAGACTTAACAACACAAACTCTTAAGTCAAGAAGGGAATGGGGAGAAATATTCCAAGTCCTGAAAGAAAATAATATGCAACCAAGACTCATATACCCGTCAAAACCCTCTCTCAAAATTAATGGAGAGATAAGATGTTTCCAAGACAAGGAGGAACTGTGGGAGTTTGTGGCCACCAATCCAACCCTACAGAGAGTGCTGAAGGACATTCCAGAGAAAGAGAGGAAGGGATACCAGGATTCCAGGAACAGTGGCAGAGAGGCCTCAATGAATGGGGCAGACAGTGGAATGAGGGAATAAGGTGGACAAATTATAGCAGAAAAGTGGAGTAGCAGACATGAGGCAGAGACGGTAAGCTATAGTCTTTAGTATAGACAACTCTGAAACACTATTAAAAAAGGCAGAGGTCTTTGTTAATAGTGTATCAGGATTTAAAAGACACAGTAGTCTTATCGCCATATTTAGTTTGAATTTAATTTGTTCTGGTCTGTCCACCCATGTCAGATTTGAGGGCGCAGACATCTGACCCAAAAATAGCAGGTTATACCATGGTAACTATCCTTACTTTCCTATTAACTTAAACTGAAATCCTGTATTACTTACATTGTCTTACAATGACTGATCTTAATTGAATCTGATTCATAAGACCACAGGTTTGCCTTGTCTGATTTTATTTGAATTTGGTATGCTTGTTAGTATCAACCCTAAAAGTAGAGGCAACTAATCTGAAGATGACAAGATGTAAAGGATATCCATACTGGTATTAACTATTAACAGCTCTCAAATCCTACAATGCTTTCAAAGTTGTGTTTTTATAAAAATAGGTAATACTATGTTTAACTATATTAGGCCGGTGTTATGGACAAATCTATTGAAAATAACAAGAGAAAACATAGTAATTACGGAAGATCACCTATATTGTAGTCTTATATGTCTTATCCATTGCATGTTTTTCTAGGAATTTGTTTTGCTGTCTTGTTACAACTTGGTTTTCCCTATAATACAGAGAGGATAGATATATATGTAGAAATTCACACATGAGTTTTTTTAAAAAAATTATTTACGGGAACAGATTATATAATGCAAGATGTAATGAACAGATACTCTGAAGAAGAGACGCTAAGAAACCCAATGCTAATTTTGTAGCATTATGATATAAATTCTAGCAATACTATTGTTCGCTAATTAGAATGACATTGGTCTGGTCTCTTGAGTTCAATTTCAGCATATCGGCTACCACGAAGAGAATGAGAGATGCGGTGGTAGTTATTATTGTCTTCCCTAATGTTGGATCTTGAAGACCTAAAAAGCCTTCATCATCCTGTAATGATTTGATTAGTTCTATAATATGCAATAAGTATATAAAGTGGGTGAAGATGGGGACAACTATTTTAAGAAACTAGAGACAGTTAGATAGACAGTGAAGGTCTCCAGTAGACTTGCTTTGAAATCTGTATTTCTTTAAATTGTTTTTTTAACTGTTTTGTTCTGTTTTGATGTGCTTAATCTTACCCTCTTTGAGATGTAAAACAAGTGTGTAGGACTGATAACCATATTACTGAGTTTTTGTTCGATCATTGAGCAGAACTGTTTGCAGTGTCACTTTTTGAATGTCATTCTAAATACTTTAATTTTGTAACCTGAACAGCTATTTCTAAGATGACAATATGTAACTTATCAACCAGCAATTTCTTACCGTTTGTTTTTCTGTAATTTTGTATTATTTCTACCCTTTTTTTTATCTCCATGTATTTTTTTGTTTCCTTTTCTTTAAATTAAAAAAAAAAAAAAAAAAAAAAAAAAAAACAGTAGACAGAGGCCCTGGCTGCTGAGTGCACCCTGCTCAGTCCCTTTGGATACCAGCATCATTCTGGAATGTTATTGTCAGCACTGTCTCCCTGGCCTTCCTCCCACCCACAGGCTGGCCTGGATGAGCTGTGACCCTGCCCGCCCAGAGCTCCCCCATCACCGCAGGCCCAGGGCCTCTGGGCCAAGAAACACACAGGACTCCGGGGAAGGACTCTCTGTTCCTTCCTCCTCCTCCCCTCCCCTCCCCTCCCCTTCCTCTCCTCCCTCCTCTCCCCTCTCTCCTCCTCTTCCCTGTCCTCTTCTTCCCCTTCCTCTTCCCCTCCCTCCCCCCCCCCCCTTGGCTCATTCAAGCTAGAGGATGGTGACACTAAGGTCCTAAAAGGAGGCAGAATTGAGGCAGGATCTCCTTTCTCAATGGAACTCTCTAAAATAAGTAAATTGCAGGATTCTGCTTCTCGTTTGCAAACAAAATTGATGAAGACAAGGATGAGAGAACTTATTTGAAAGGGGTTATGTGGTATTTGGGGGTTGTTTTGTGTTTTGCTTTATGGCACCTTGAGATTTTATCTTACACAGATCTCCAGTGTTTTCTGGAACAGTCTGGAAATAGGATGTGGGTTTGGTGGAAGGGTTAAGACGACAGCCACACGGGTATTAATGGGCTGTGCTGGTCACTGGTTCCTCAGTCCGCCCTCCTAGCCTGGGCAGCAGGTGATGCTGTGGCCATAAAGGCACTGGCTCTGGCTTTTGGGACTTTTTTGGAACTTTTGGGACAGTAATGCCAGTGTTTCAGGGTGTAATCCGGGAGACACAGGAAGCCTCTCAGTGAATACCAAGTGTGTGTTAATAGCTTCCTCCCTCTCTCTCTCTTGCTCTCTTTCTCTTATTTTTGCCTTTTTAGAAGCAAGGTCTTGCCATGTAGCCCTGAACTGTTTGTGATCCTCCTGGCTCAGCCTCCCAAGGGCTGGTATTACAGGTGTGTGCCACTGTGTCACTTGTTTTCATAAATTACTAACATAGAAAGATTTAATATTGCCTTTTTCCTGCATTTCCATTAAATTCAAGGTTACTGAGTCAAGATTCTAATGTATAATTCTCTATATATTTTTTCATCTTTTTTGAGACGGGGTCTCGCTATGCAGTTCAGGCTGGCCTTGAGCTCACTTTGTAGCCCAGGCTGGTCTCCAACTCGCAATGATCCTCCCACCTCAGCCGCCCGAGTGTTGGGAATACAGGCTTGAGCCACCACGCCCAGCTCTATAATTCTATATTAAAGAGGAGTTTAAACTGCTTTAGCGTTTAGGTGTGGTGGTACACACCTGTAATCCCAGCAATCAGGAGGCTGAGGCAGGAGGATTGCTGAGTTCAAAGCCAGCCTTGGCTATAAAAAGTAAGTTCAAGGCCAGCCTCAACTGCATAGAGAATCCCTGACTCAAAAGAAAAGAAAAGAAAAAAAAAAAAGGCATAATCTAGCTTCCTCCTTCACAGGTCAGTTTCGACAGGTGTTTCCCAGAAGCTGCCTCTCCTTCAGAGGCCTGTGATTTCCAGCACTACGGTGCCTTCCTGTTCTCTTACAAATCTCTAATCTGCCGACTGTCATCATGTTGGAATTGCTGGTTTTGACTTCCAGCATTCAGAAGGAGGCTGCCGGGGTGGATGCAGCCCTTCTCCTGGTACTGAGGGCAGAACCAGGTACTTTGCGGAGTCTGAGCCTCGGAGCCTCTCTTTCCCACCTGGAGGCTGAGTTGCCCCTTTGGGTGGAGACTTGTGGTGTTCCTGCCTCCGCAGTGTCCTCCGCCGGGTCTTCCTTGGATCTCTCCGAATGTGACCCATCAGTACCTAAAGATGTTTTCCAGAGCTTGGAGGAGGAGAAGGAGGTGAATGCCCTGGGCCGCCACTCTCTCCTGTTCAATCAGGGACAGTGAGGGACTCCAGGATAGAGATGCCAGGGTGTCCACCAAGGCGTCCCTGGGAGCCTGGGTCCCGCCCTGCCCTCCTTCAGTTCCTGACCCAGGCCCTGGCTGCCATGCAAACTCCTCCCTGCTTGGCGTCCCCTGCACCCAGGACCCTTGGCCACCGCCTGGGGCCCACTGTGTCCCAACGCCCTAGGCCCATCCTTACTACAAGCCAGCTGCAGGGCTGGGGCAGAAGGAGGGGACACTGCTACCTATGGCCTTGAGATTCCCGATATACCCACGCCCGTGCAGCTGCTCCCTGCTTTATGACTGCTTTGGTGACTGGGGACCTCATGTGGCCCACTGTGGAGAGCAAGTTCCAGGGAGAAACACGAAGCTCAGAAGTGCACACATAAATATATTTCTGTGTAGATAGAAGACAATAAATAGGTGGCTGGCACGGCAGCGTCTGGGTTGCGCTGCAGGGCAGTGTCACGGACTGACACCTGGGCCCTGCCAGGGTTCCAGGTGTTTGAGGTAAAACACATGGAGACTGGTCCTTTGGGAGGGTGTCCTGCTGTCAAAGGTGGGGCACCAAGGCCACCAGGGCTGCCCTCCTTGTGCGGCCAGCAGCAGCTGGGCAGACGACCCCGGCTGTACTGGGCCCCCAATGTTGGCTGAATGCCACTGGCCACCCAGGCCTCCCGGGTCCTCAGCCCGTGCGCAGCAGAAGCACCCTGGAGATGGGCTCCTTGGCACTGGAATAGATGAGGTAGGAGCCGGCCGCCGTGCTGAAGGCCTCCCAGTCCCTGCAGCCAAAGGTGGGGAGGCGATGAGTGGCCACGAAGCCCTCGTAGCCCTGCCATCTGCAAGGGGGACACGGCGTCAGTGGGGTGCAGCCTGCTTCAGGATGACACCATCCACACTGCCCTGGGCATGGTGTGGGCAGCCGTGCAGCCTGCCTGCTATCAAGAGCAGGGCTGGGAGTGGCCCTCTGATCTTGCAGAAGGGAAACTGAGGCCCAAGAGGGAAAATGGAGCTGCCCAAGGCCCTGCCCAGGCTCCCCATGGCTACCTGGCCCCCCGCCCAGGGCCTCTCTGACCTCCGGAGTCAGGGGCTCATGTGTGACAAATGCCTGGTCCTGGGGCTCTGGGCAGGATACCTTTTCTATGTAAAACTTTAAAATCTCAGCCCTCAGACCCCCGACCTCCGCCAGCCAGATGTCTTTCCTGTGTAACTTTGAGGTTACACAAACTCCCCTGAGCTTTTCTCCTGCTATTTTTGCTGTCAAATTTTGTATGCTTGGATTTCTTAATACTTGGATTTTAATCCATGTAAATGTATATGGACATGAAGTAGGGATAGAGGTTTGTTTTCTTCCAGATAGATAGCAAAATGTGTGAAATTCTTTTGTTAAACAACGCATCCTCTTCTCATAGAATCTAAATGCCATATGTATCACATTAAATGTCATAAAGCAATGGCTCTTCTGGATTTTATTTATTCCATCTGTCTTTCACATTTTTATTTGCTTATTTTGTGGTCTGGGGGATCAAACCCAGGCCCTCTGTTAGCATAGGCACATGCTCTGTGTTCGCAGCCTTTCACCTCTAAATCACCCTGTTTCATTTGTATGGGAACAAGTCCTTCTTCTCCACTACTGTCTTTCGAAAGTTTCTTGGCATCTTTGCAATTTTATTCTTCCATATGCCTTTTCAAGTTACTTTATTATGTAGAAAGTCTCCCATAGTGAATTTTGCAGAAAACCAAGAAATTTTTTAGTAAAATATAAGTGACCAAAACTTTCAAGTGAGATGAAGGCCTGAAGAAGCCAGTAAGCATCTGAGAGCCTGGGAAAGCTGTCTGAGAGATGCTCTCAAAAGGAGTAGGCATGGTGACATACACCTGTAGTTCTAGCACTTGGGAGGTTGCGGCAGGAAGATCACTGCAAATTCAAGGCCAACCTAGGCTACATAGTGAGTTCAAGACCAGCCTGAATTGCATAGCGACACCCTGCCTCATACAAGAAAAGAAAAATAAAAAGTACAAGGCTCAGATGATTTTAAATTGAATTTAAAACTGAGTGTGGTGGTATACTACTGTAATCCCAGCACTCAGGAGGTGGAGGCCAGAGGGCTATTGCAAGTTTGAGACCAACTTGGACCAGGAAGTGAGCCCATGTTCAGCCTGAACTGAACAGTGAGACCATGTCTCAAAAATGCCAAAACAAAACAAAACAAAAAACCCACCTGAATTGACCTTGAAAGATATTTTTCAAAATATCCTGGCTCACAGGCATGTTGAGAAAACTGCAGTGTGTATGTATGGGACCAGTTTTTTTTGTTGTTGTTTTGTTTTGACTTTTTGATACAAGGTCTTGCTGTGTAGCCTAGGTTAGCTTTGAACTCGGAAATCATTCTGCCTCGGCCTACGAGCGCTGGGACCACAGGCGTGTGTCACCAGGCCTGGTTCAGAGACTCATTTAACTTCCTACTAAGACACAAGAATCTTTCACACCAGCAGTCAGGAGCCTGCAGCACTTGAGTAATTACGTAGTGCCAGTTCCCAGAGTGTGGGGATCTCCGGAGAAGAGCAGCACAGGAAACCACACCCCAAAGCAGGCAGGAGGTGCCGACAGACTTACAAACAGCTCAGCAGCAGGGTTGCTCGGCCAGCTGGGATGTTTAGGTGGTAAAGAAATCCAAGCTTTAGGAACCCAGAGGCAGAGACGCCTTTGTTCTCAGATGTAATTACAGCCCTAATCCTGCAAGACTCTCCTGAAGAAGAGCAATGAGAATGGACAAGGTGGCCAGGTGGCTGGGCACAAAGACTCCTATGCAGCAGGGGTGGCAGGAAGATCCGGCCCTTAGACCTGTGGTGCTGGAGGACTAGAGAAAAAGTATCCCAAGCGCACCACTGGCTGTGTGAGGACTCCTATGTGTGTGGCCATGGTGGGCGGATCCCCTGCTGCAGGAAGGTGGCCTGAAGAGGCAGAGGGGCTCCTTACCTGTAGATAATACTGTTTACCGAGAAGGTGTTTCCATCGAAGGAGTTGGCGACCACCAGGAAGTAGTCCTCCCCCACTGAGAAGAACTCCCAGTCCAGGGCACTGTGGACAGGAGCCGTGTGAGGAGAAGCAGGGCTAGGGCCAGGGCTGGGCGTCACCTCTGGGGACACAGTCACTCTCCACTGCCTCCTGTTTGTGGCGCACTGGACTCACTCCAGGAGGCTGGGGGTGGGCGCTGTGTGGACACTCACTCTGGGGGTGCCTAAGTCTAACAGTGGCTCAGGGCACGGAGCAGGTTAGGCTGTGCTCAGGGTGGCCGAGGCTCCCCCAGCAGTGCCTTTCTGGAACCCAGAATCTGCCACAGCTTGCTCTTGGGCTCTCGTTCTGAGGCCTGGGTTTTCCCCCTCTTAACTTCTAAAAATTATATGAGATACTAAAAACTAAAACTAGAAATTCCAATTGACCCAGCCACTGCCCTCCTAAGTATCTTCATGAAAGTGTTATTTTAAGATTTTTTTTTTTGAGTCGGGGCCTCAGGATGGATCTCAGGGGCCTTGACTTCATGGCAATCCTCTGGCCTCTGGTCTGGAGGTGACTGTGACACCCTGCTCCAGGACTGCATTTTCCCCTCACAGACTCAGGCAGACCCTGCAGTAGGAGTTGTGTGGGACTTGAGCTCTAGGGTCTCACGTGGTGGCCCTGATAGCAGGTCAGGGGGACCCAGCACTACAGGGCACATGCAGAGCCCTCGCCCCGCCCCCCCAGCCTTGCCTGGGCTGAACACAAGGGTCCCTGTCCTGGAACTGTGGGAGGATGATATCACCTGCAGCTCCTGTCCCAGGCCTGTGTCCAAGGGGCGCCATGGGCATGGTCTCCTGGGGAAAGCATGGATCTGCCCCAGGCCTTCTTCCCACAGGACAGCTGGCGTGCAGGGAGATGGAAGCTGGGCATCCCATGCCCGCAGGAAGGGTACACAACACTGCCCTGCCCCCCAGCCCAGTACCTGCAGGTGGGGATGTCCTGAAACTTGACAAAGGTCTGTGCGGTGACATTGAGCTCGTAAATGACCGAGTTGATGACGTAGGAGTCATTTTGCAGTTGCATTTCCACATCGTAGCTGTGACTGTTGGCGACAGCCAGGAAGACCCTGTCCCCGATGCGGAAGACTTCCCAGTCTGCAGCACCAAACGTCTAGCAGAAAAGGAGGCTGCTGTGGGAGGGCTGTGTTCCAAGCCATCTGCAGGAGCCCCTCCTCCCAAAAGCCCCAGCAGAGCCCCCCAGCTCCACAAGGCAAGTTCTCTGACCACAGGGTGCAGATCCTGCATTGCTGGACTCTGCCTCCCTTCATGAGCCACGCTGTCCCTTAAGGGCCCTTGAGGAGGGAGTGCCTGTGGGGTGCATGGGGAAGTGGGTACAGGAGAAACCCTGACCCAGAGTGGGTAGAGCCTCGGAGAGGGAGGGGATCGGGACCACTCAGGAAGGCAGCAGCCGTTATGTGCAGGACTGTGACAGGTGTGGGTACAAATGCTCCCAGGGACCCCAGCCCCATCAGCAGGAGGGGGAGGTGGTGAAGGTGACTCCTTGGGTTCCTGTATGCTGCAGAGGGGGCAGGAAATGCAAGCTGGATACTGTGACTGGAGCTGGCATACAATTTTTGCGCCACTTCTAAGACTCAATTGCTGAGGGTGCCTGGAGGGGACAGGAAGAGTCACTGCCTTTGGGAGGGGCTGCTGGGTGAGGCCACCTGGGTGAGACCACAGGGACTCTGCCACACTCTGTCTGTGTGATGTGTGTGGCATAGAACGCAAGTGAGGCCGTGGTTGGGACAGCTGGGGCGGGGGTCAGAGGGCAGGGTTTGGGGTTCTGGGAGTGGGTTGAAGGGGACATCGTGAGTGGAAAGAGGAAAGACCCCAACACCCTAGCTGCTCATCAAATCCGTGTGGTGCTCCTGGGCTGCATGTGGAGTGTTTAGGAGCCAACAGTCCTGGAGGCAGGAGGGGCCGGGGAGACCAGCAACGGGCAGCAGTGGGCTCTGACAGGAGGTGGAGTTGGGCCCAGGGTAGGTTCACAGGGATGCAGGATGTGCCCACTGCAACCCAGAATGATCCCAGGACCAAACGACATGAGGAGGACTAAAGAGCACTGATTAAATCGTATGAGTGACACTGTGCTTCTGCATTTTCCCAAAGACTTACATGCAGACATTTGCATATGTGTACAGTCACACGTGTCACATATACATGGATACATGTGGGTATACATATGTGCACCTGTGCATTTTTCCACTGTATGTTTCTTTGCTTTCTTCTGTAGCACAAGCTATGCGTTATCACTTACAATAAAAAACAGAAGAGGATGGTTGAAAATCTGTGGCATTAGAGTTCGGTCTCAGGCTTCCCATAATCAGATCTTTTGTGAATGGAAACAGGATGGAGAGAGTGAGGAAAGGTGGAGGGGAGAGCTAGGGAGATACCAAGGATTAGGGTGCATGGAGAGACACAGAATCGCAAGGTCATAGGTGTGGGTTAATCTACGTATTTCATTTTGTCCCATGCTTTTTCAATGACTTATGTATAAATACTCAGTGTATTTATAATTAGATACATGGAAAATTTGAAAATCTCTCCAGTAATCTTTGGCAGGAATTTAGAAAATATCTAAATTTGTCTGCCTCACAATTTCCAGGTCATTATCTATCTTACTTCTAATTCTAATAAATTAGAATTAGCTTTAACGTTGTAGTAGACAATCAGTGCTCAGTTCTTGTAATCTAAATATGCCTAAAGATGGCTTTACCACTGTCTTCTGTGAAATGGAAAACTCCCAGCTACTTTTTGATTTGTCTCTAACCTGTTCTCACCATCACTGCTATCAGAAGGTGCGTTTTCCTTCTGGAGGATTCAGCACCAGCTTGGAATTGTTATTGCCAGTCTGCAGTGATCGGTCACAATACATATACATCCCAACTCAGTACCTCTTTGCAAACGCTTCTACACCTTATAAAACAGTGATGGGAGGAGGCATACTCCTTTATTAAAGACATTCTTTGTGGGGAAAAAAAATAAATGAACTCAGCCGGCAAAGCAAGGTCTAAGCCAGGCTTCTAGGGCGACCAATGGTTTGCAGTCCAGACCCTCAGAGGAAGATGCCAGCGCCCGTCATGGTACGAAGGGGCCACACACGTGATGCAGATGGCTCAAAGGAGAAGACAGAGGCATCAGAGAAAGCTCCCAAGGAGCACAAGAAGCCGTGTAAGTCTCTGAAGGAGTGGGGTACAGCTGGGTGGAGCCGGCCTGGGTTGCCGCCCCAGCAGCAGAAGAAAAAGTAACTGATAGAAAAACATGCGACTAATACCCTACAACCAGTGGCCACACCTTTCAGGAACGAAGGGGAGACAGGCATGGTTAATAACACGGCAGAATGAAGTGCCCGCAGACCTCTGTGTAAGACACACCCAAGGAGGGTTTTCCAGTTGAAGGAAAATGACCTGATGGAAATTAATAAACACAGGAAAAGATGAAGAGAGTGCTTAGGAATGGTGACTGTGTGGATTTTTTTTTTTTTTTTTTGGTACTGGGATCAAACTCACGACTGCATGCTTGTAAGGCAGGCACTTATGCTGCTGAGCTGAATCCCAGACCCGAGTGTGTGGATGTTTGAAGGAGAAATTTTTGACAAATTATGACGCTTATACCCTAAGTATAAGTGTGATTTCTATATGCGCCCTCAGCACAGGGATTGGCAGGGAGAGATGGAACCGTGATGGTGCCAGGTCACTGCATTGCATGGGAAGCAGTTTAATGTTAATTCAGATGGGACTGTGATTAGTTAAGCATGTGTTGTAACTACTGGAATACAGCAAACTTACAAGTAAGAGGAGAGAAAAGGAAGACCATTCATTCGACACAGGACCAGTGTCCAGAATATAGAAAGAACTTCCACGTCTCAATAAAAGGGCAAAAAACAAACCCCCAAAAAAACAAACATGAGGAAAAGACTTGCACAGAAATTTCACAAATGGAAACAGAGGCAGCAGAGGAGCATATTAAAAGGCGCTCGAGCCGAGCGTGGTGGCCTCCCAGCATTTGGAAGTCTGAGGCAGGAGGATCGATGGGAGTTCAAGACTAGCCTGGCCTACAAAGTAAGCTTAAGGCCAGCCTGAACTGCATAGCGAGACCCTGTCTCAAAAAGACCAAAAAAAAAAAAAGGTGCTCACCTCAGAAATCATTGGGAAGCTGCAAATTTTATTAAAAGCCACCAGAAGCGGTGGAAAATCTGCGCTGGTGGAAAGCCGTGCAGGAAACCGCGCCTGAGTCCAGCACAGAGGCTGGCAGACAGCTGGCAGTGATGCCACAGGCAAGGAAAATCACTCAGAAAAGGAGCGGAAGAACCGTCCCCACCACAGCAGAACACAGTGCCCCTGACTGCAAGAACCTGCAGAGTGGGAAAACTACTGGGGGATGAGGGGTTGGGGGAAGAGGGGGGTGGGGCGCAGAAACTTTGGAGGTTCTGGTCCCCAGGGTGGGTGGAAGGACACAGTGGGTCACTCAAGCATCTGATGCGGCATTGTGCACATGAGCCAGTTCCAGGGAAAGCTGTTCCCAGGAGTGGACTTGGAGGACACATGGTTTGGTGTCTAAAGTCCTCGACACTGGCCAGGCCTCTGGCTTGGACTGGGAGAAGAGACCACACAGTGAGCTCGGTGGTTGATGGCCTTGGGGCGATGACCCAACCCCTGTAACGTGTGTCCTCTGTCCAGCCCGGTGCACTCCGCTGCTTTTTGTTTTTTTTTTTGGTACTGGGGAGGCACCTCACATCCTTGTTCTTACCAGGCAGGCACTTGTGCCGCTGACCCACATCCCCGTCTCTGCTGCTTTTGTTTCCCGCAGAACCCAACCTAACACACTTTAAATTTCTCAGCTTCCTGGAAACTTGGAGGTGGGCACTGAGGCTACAGAGCCAGCACTTCCTGGGTGAGACTGGTTGTTTCTGTGTGCCAGGCCAGCATTTGGAGCAGATTCCTTGGCTCTGAACAGCCATGGGGAGCTGCGGGCAGGAACTCACCTCTGCATCTGCAGGAGGGCACCCTCAGGGATGGCCACGGCCTCGTGCCTGGGTCACAGATGGCTGTGGCACCATGTTAGAGCTTCCCACTTGCCCAGTTGTCTTGGGAAACGTTCGGAGCCAAGTCCCGCCCAGATCTGCCCAGTGGGCACAAGCAACTGGGTCTGGGTGCAGGGACCCCTGAAGCCATGCTCTCCAGGTTGAGGCTGCCTGCTTCCCTATGGACCCTGCACCCCAGAGAGGAAGCCTTGCCTGCGCCAATGTATTTCCTACTGGTCACCCCAAGGGCATTGCCTGTGGATGTCTCTGTCTTTCAGACCACAGGGAAGAGGCTCAGGGTCCCACAGGACAGGAGACATCTCTCACCCCCAGGTCAGGTAAGCTGCACACTTGAAAATTCCACACATTCTGCTGTACCCTGCCCATCCCAGGCCTGGCTGCTTAGCAGGAAGCGATGGAGGAGCCAAAGGAGACAAACATGCAGACAGCAGAGGGCACTGCTGCTCGCCCGAGCCCCAGTGCTAGCTTTGTGCAGCGTCACGCAGTCCCAGAGCCGAGGCTGCAGGGTAATGGGCCCGTGGGAGACCCGAGGGCAAAGAGCACCTTTAGGCCTAAGGAGGTCGCTTGCTAGGAAGCATAAAGGACCAGGACTGGGTGCAGGCCTTTCTGGAGGGGCGCAGCCTCTCTGCACACTGCTCTCAGTCACCGTCCCCAGGGCCGCCTGTGTCCCCCGAATGTGCATGGCCTCAGCGCCACCCACTCTGCTCACTCTGCAGCACACGACACAAAACCTGATAGGTGCCACAGGTCACCTGCACGTTCTGCACTGTGCAGAGGAAACAGGAACCTTGACCTGTATGTCTCCCACACCTCCCAGAGTGCAGAGGACACCAGGCAGCACATAGCCACACACGGTCATGGGCATCCACATGCCCTGCCTGCAAACGTGTACACATGTGAATGCACATATACATGTGCACACAAGTGGGGTGTGTGCATACACCGTGCACAGACACATAGCCACTGCAGGTGAATACACATGCAGACATGCACATGTGTGCACACATACCTTCATACACATGCACAGTACACACACAGCAGCACACAGGCACATACATGGATGCCTGCATCCTCAACAGGTCTCCCCAAAGGCAGGGCTTCCTCCCAGCTCTGAGGGACCTCCTCCCGGCTTCCTGCTCACTGCTGCCTGCATGGAGGTCCAGATAGGGTCTGGTTGGAGCCCTTTGTGTGGCCCCGAGCAGGCTCTCTCAGCTCTAGTGGGGAGGCCAGGCCACCCTGAGTGAGGGGTGAGGTGTCCTCCCTGCCCCAAGGAGCCCACAGTGGGGGCCTGCCCATGGGACACTTGGTAGGGACAGACACAGGCGAATGCCAACGCGGACAGGGAGGAGAGGGTGGCTGGTGAGGCAGGGAAGGGCATGGGAGTGGCACTGCAGGACACGCAGGACACAGGGCCCTGGGAGCCAGTGAAGGCTCTGAGCAGGGCAATGGGGAGAGAGGTGTGCAGGAGGCACTGAAACTGGAGGGAATGAGAGAGCAGGTGCCATCAGGGTGTGGGGAGAGAGAGAAGGGAGAGAGAGAGAGACAGACAGACAGACACAAACCATCCTGTGCCCTAGGGCTGCCCTGTGGCCTGCAAACAGGGTGCAGAGACGGCGCAGGCCTCTGCCACTCCCCGTCCAGCCAGGGTCAGGTGAAGACTCATACGTAGGGACCTCTGTTGCCTGAATTTCAGATAAATGATGACTTGCTGGTCCACATGTATTCCACAGAAGCCAAGGCGCCCTGTGTCACCTGCAGGGCTGCCCAGGGACATTGCCAGCTGAGGCTGCCTAACTGGGCAGCAGCAGCCCACACTTGGCCCTTGGCCTGGCTGGAAGTGGGCAGAGGGCCCTGGGATGACCACAAGGTGGATCTGTGTAGCGGGGGCTGTCAGGCTGCTCCTGTTCCCTCAGGCACAGAGGACAAGAGAAGCCCACGTCACACATGCTCAGGGAAGCAGCCAGGCCCCTCTCAGGACTTCCTGGAGTCCCCCACACCACCCTAGCACAGTGCTGGTACCCACGTACCCACCTCCTGGAGGGTGGGCACACTCACACCCTTGAGGGCTCCGTGCTTGGTGCTGTGGCTTCTGGGCATTTTCTGCCTCATCAGCCCTCCAGGGGACCTGGTGCCATCACCCCCTTTACAGTGAGGACTCCTGGGGGAGCAAGACCCTCTCATCGTGGCCCACACTGCTTTGCCCAGGATACCACCATGGAGACCTCAGCCCTGCTCCCAAACCCCTACACTGAGGAGCACCTGTGGCCAAGGGTGCTGCCCACACTGACTGTGACCCACAGAGCATGCTGAGGTCTCCCACACTGGCACGGCTCTCGGGCTTCAGCCTTTTGAACCCTAAGCCAGGTAAACCACCACTGCTCCCACATCACCCCATCTCAGTCTCTCTGTCATAGCATCAAGAAACAGGTAGAGGTACAGCCTATAGCCAGGGACCAACAGCCCTGTAGCCTGGCGTCAGGCATCAGATACTGAGGAAGGTTCATCCCTCCCTTTATGCAAGTTTCTGAGGCTCTGACACCCTGGGAAGGTCGTAGAATTCCTGCTATAAGGCCCAAGAACCTGGAGGGTGATGCCCATGACCGAACCTTTCATGCCCTCTGGGGAGCTGCAGCCCCTGCTGTCCCTGCCCTGGCTGCAAAACCCCATCCCTGCCTGTGCCCCAGTCACCCTGTGAACCTGCACTGACCCTTGGTGCCTGGGAGCCGGAGAGGACTGCAGAGGACACCCCACTGTGTGGGTGCTGGTGGCCCAGCAGGGTGGGCCCCCATGGACAGCCCGGATGACGTCTGAGCCTCACCAGGAAGGACTGGAAGAGCCGGAAGGCGCCGACCAGCCAGATGTACAGGTGGGAGTGCACTCTGGTGGAGGTGCCGTTGAAGGTGTTGGCCACCGCTAGGAAGGAATAGGGCCCCACGGTGAAGAACTCCCAGTCGTAGGCGCCCGATGTGGCGATGCTTTGGTGGGGCTCAAAACGCTGGGTGCTGGGGTTCCACTTGTAGATGATGCTGTCGATGTTGTGGTTGTCACCTGGAACCAAGGGCCACAGGCAGTGCCCACGGCAGCCTGCAGGCAGTGCCCTCAGCGGCCCTGCCCCAGGTCCCTGCCTGCTCTGGACGTGTGCCACCACCAGTGTCCATCCTCTCTACCCCAGGCCCAGCGGGAAAGACCATGCTTCTCCATGGCTGCTGTGTCCTCTCTGTCCTGCCCTGCAGGTCTCCTGGCCATACCTCCTGCCTCTGCCTGGATTCCGCTCCCCTAGGGCTACTGGGGCCCCTGCCAGCACTCCTCTGTGTCATGCTGGTTCTTGGCTGCCAGGGTTCCCCTGTGGCCCATTAGTAGAATAGTTGGGGACTGCAGGTTCCAGGGATGCTAAGCTGTGTAGCCCTGAGAGGGCCAGGGCAGGGGGCCTTGCAGGGAAGGCTGCCACCTCTGTTCCTTTGCCCCCTGGGTCCAGGATTGGGGAAACTTGTTAACTACTCCTGGCAGATTCCAGGCCAGAGACCAGGCTTCCTGGCTCCATGATGTGCTGCCCACACCTTCAGAGCTCAGCAAAAGGCTCTTCTGTGGGGAACAGGGGGCTGACAATGTTCAGGTCCCTGCAGGCCACCCATGCCATCACCCTTGGGACTGAGCCTGGCCTGCTGTTCAGGACTCCACTGCTCAGCTGGGCCAGTCAGGCAGTGCTGAGGGCAGGCTGCTAGTTAGCTCTTTTCAACCAGGATGGAAGCCGGCAGGCAGAGCTCCTGCAGGCAGGACCTGCACAGGACCCTGTTTGTCTCCCTCACTTACACAGGCACATGGTGACTGTGACAGGGCTCATTTGGGCTCATCCTGACACAAAAATGTGAGAGGAGAGCTCCAGGACTAGGCTGGGTGTGACTCGGCTTTTTTTTTTTTGGAGACAGGTTCTCTCTTTGTAGCCCAGGGCCAGCCTCAAAGTTTTATTCCTGCCTGTCACTGAGCTCTAGTGTTACAAGGCATGTGCCACTATGCCTGGCAACTTATTATTATTTTTTGTCTTTTTGATACAGGGTCTCACTATGCGGTTTAGGCTAGTCCTCGGCTCACATTGTAGCCCAGGCTGGTCTCGAACTTGCAACGATCCTCCTGCCTCAGCCTCTCAAGAGCTGAGATTACAGGAGTGCACCACCATGCCCAGCTTACTATTTTTTAACTGAGATAACAATCCACCCTGGGCAGAGGTCGTGCTTTCCCCGGGAGTGGATCACTTCCGGGTCAATGGCTGTGTCTGCCCTACCTTCCCGGTGGTTGGCTACCGCCAGGAAGTGCTCGCCATCCACCTTGAAGGCCTCCCAGTCCCGGGCGCTGTGGGTGGCGATCCTCTGGTAGGGGGTGAACTTCAGTCTCCTGTGGCTCCATTTGTAAATGACCGAGAACTCCTGACCTTCTTCATTTGGTCCGAAGTTTGCCACCGCCAGGAAGATCTGCAAGAGAGAAACCAGGTTAGTGCATTCCTCTAGGGGCCAGGCCAGGTGCTGAGGGCTGCTGGGCTGGGGCTGGCTCCCCAGATCTGGGGTTAGGCCAGCCAGAGCCTTACGTGGGCTTCTTCAGCCCATTTCACGTGCTTCTATCAGAAGGAAGAAAATCTCAAACGGGGGAGCTCTCCATGCACCAGCACTTGCTCTGTGCCTGGATGTGGTCGCCCTGCCTCCCGTACTTGGGAAGTGGCTGTCACAAGTCGATGTGTAGAGTGGTGGCCAGTACCGTGGGAGCGCCTGGCCAGGGAGACCCCGTGGCACCATGTGCTTCTCATGGCCTGGAAAGTGCATGCCTCCCCGGTGCACCCACCGGTTTGCAAAGGAACCTACACATCTGTTCAGGTGAGGGCACACAATATTTTCCCCATTTTTCTGAACTTCCTAATTTTTCTTTGATGTAGATTTATCTTTGTGGCATGAAAAATATCAAACAAAAAGAAAAAAGGAGCTCGGTATTCACTTCCGCAGTGGACCTGGAGGCAGTGGGGCCAGTGGCGGGGGTAGGGCTGCAGGGCCGTGCTTGTCTGGTTTGTCCCAGGTGTCCTGGGTTGCCCTGTCCTGCCTAGTACCTGGCCCTCACTGGCTGCTGGGACGTCACATGTCTGCTGTGATTGTGTGGGAGAAGCACACATCTTCTCTGTTGACCAGCTCCGTAGTTACACAGGGGACAAAATCTCAGAAATGGCACTATACCCTGCTGAGGGAAGCCTGATAGACTTCTTGGGTCTGTGCTGGACCTAGAGCATCTTGAAGGAGCCTTTCTCCACCGGGACTGGGTTTGGGAACCCTGAGGAAGAGCTGCTGGGATCTGCGGGTCTAGGGAGGGGCCCCCTGTAGGAAGGCAGGGCCGTCACCGTCTGGACTTGCCTTCTTCCCAATGGTGAAGTGTCGCCAGGACTGCGCCTGGTGCGTGGCGATGTTCTGATAGGAGACGAACTTCCCGTCTGTCCACTTGTAGATGGCGGACGTGGCCTTCCGGTTGGCCGTCGCCAAGAAGAGCCCCACCTGGGGGATGCCAAATACCTCGAGGCCCAGTGTCTCTGAGTTCGTGAACAGGCTCTGGTGCTCCTCCACGTAGTCCAGCTTGACTTTGGCTTGGGATGGGACATGGTGACTGGGTCAGCAGCCCGAGCCTGGGAGCTGGGCAATACCCAGGGCTTTGGCCACAGGCAACTGGAAGCCTTGGCCCTGGCCATGCTGATTGGCCTGCATCTGCCCTGAAGGACAGGCTGCCTGCAGAGAGGCCTGGCCCTCAATCTGCATGGTCCCAGGATGCCACGGGAAGGCCTCTCTGCACCGTGTCTTTACCTACTGGATTCCAAGGCTCACTCTTCTCTGTGCGCCCCGGGTGCAACAGGACAGAGTGGAGCCCCCAGCGCCCCCCACCAGCCCATCTGCAACACCCACTCCTGCGCTGTCCCTTCTTGCTGTGGCACCAACTGCCGAGGGTGGCAGCAGAAGTGAGGCCTCCAGATGCCTCCTATCTGTGGTCCACTGGGCAGGGGGTGAAGGCCCAGACCCTCCAGGAGGGAAGCATCCCTGGGCCCCTTACCATGGACCGGGAAGAGGAAGCCAAAGGTCCCCAGTCCTGTTGCCATCCCTGGGACCACATCCAGGATATGTGTCACGTGTACCCAGATTAAATGTCCTGCCTTCTGGGGTAAGCATCTCAGCCCAAACAATGTGGTTGAGGGTAGCTTGGGTATGGGGCCGCCAGGCCTACAGAAAACGGGCTCCCACAGGTCGTTTTAGGAAGTGTCCCAGCCTGCACAGCCCAATGTGTGGCCATCTACAGATGGCCAAGGCCGCTCGCCCCCTCATAACCTCTTCCCCCCAGCTGGGCCAGGCCAGGCTCTCCTGCCAGCTCTGGTGACATGCATGAGGTACAATGCCGCCTCACCTGCCAACACCGAAACCCACTCGCTTCCCACACACAGGTACAGTCCTCTTTGGGAGACATCGAACCAGAACTGGGCATCTTCTGCCTTGGTACAGGATGGCCGGGACCCCAGGGTCACCTTCAGGCGGGCTTCTGCAGGGAAGAATGGTGGGGGGTGACATCAGCAGTGTGAGGGCCAAAGGGAGGCCCACCCAGCAGTACCCTCCCTGGCTTCTGTGTGGCCACCTATGTCTTAGGGCCACCACCCTGCAGTGGGACCTGGAGAACGGTGCACCGAGGACTGTGTGCCATCTGTGGGGGTCAGATGGGCACTTGGTGGGAAGTGTGATGACGCTGGCTCGTCTGATGGCACCTGTCCTCCTGCCACCCCCAGGAGAGCACGGGGAAGTTGAGAAGGGGCTTCCATGTGGGGCCTGGGCCCTTGTGTCTGCTGCGGAGCAGGGATGGCCAGCCTTGCCTACTAACCGTGTGGGTATTTCAGCACCTCATTATCGTCCAGCTTCCCCTCGAGCCCCTGGAGCACCTGTGGGATGGACAGCTCGGCCAGGTGGGCCCTCCTGCTGGGGCACAGCCTCAGGGTGGCATCTGAGCCTGGCAGCAGGGCCAGCTGCCTGACCAGGCCCTGTGGAGAGAGGGCAGTGTGCTCAGAGCCCGTGCTGCTGTGGGGTAAGGGGTGGTGGGCTCCTCCATTTGCACCCTGGGTGTTGGAGACCTCTGAGAGGCAGCGCCAAGCAGGCTTTAAACTGAACTAAGTGTCTTTGTGTAATTATTAGGAGTCTGTCCCCAGCCTAGGGGACTTGTTCCAAGGCTGGTAGCTGGCATGCAGAAAGTATAACTCGCCAGTGGTTGCCGTGGAGACCTGTGCTGCTCCATGACGCAGTGGCACCTCAGAGGGCAAGATAAACCCTGGCCGAGGACCTCTGGCCTTCTGCCTATTGCAAAGCCATAAACTGCCAACCTTACTGGTAAGAGAGTCCACCTAACTGGCAAGAGTCACTGCCTAAGAAGGTCTTTGTTGTAAGTTCTCAAGATCCTGCTCAGTTGCCCACATTTATCAGATTTCCCTCACACTCCCTGAACTTGTTTGGAATCCAGTAAATACAGGTATTCCAGAGAATTCTTTGTCTTAGTGCCAACAGAGTTCTGACCTGCCTGGACTCCAAAACTTCATATTTCTTGTCTCATTTATTTAATCCCTTGCCATCCACTCATCATAGGAGATCGAGAAACCTGATTCAACCCCCAGTACAGGGAGGCAAAGGGGTGCAAACCTGAGAAGGACACATCCTCATCTCTGGAAGGCTGCTGTGCTCAGGTGGTTAAATCACGGGGGATTTTCCATGGGGACTTAGAGTGACCAGGTGATACAGTCCATCTGCCTGTCCACCCAGGCATCCACCCATCATCCATGTATCCACCACCCGCTCTGCCCAGCCACCCACCCACCACCGAGACACCTCCTGATTGCCCACCTGCCTGGCTCAGTATCTGTGTATCTATCCATCCACGACTCTACCCACTCATCCATCATCCACCCAGGGTCTGCCCACGTCTGTCCCTCCATTTACATCACACTCCCACAAAGCACCTGGGCATGGTTCCAGACTCCGATGACCTAGCAGGAATCAGAGTTCCTACCCTCACAAAATGAGACCCCCGCCAGGGAGGACCCTGTGGGTAAGGGTGGGCTGTGCTACTGAGAGCAGATAGCACCTGCAGGGTCCATGCTGGGTGTGGGCAACATCTTTTTAAAAATTATTTTGAGACAGGGTCTTGCTGTGCATTTCAGGCTGGTCTTGGACTCATGCCCAGGCTAACCTTGAATTTGAGGTGATCCTCCTGCCTCAGCCTCCCCAGTTCTGAGATAACAGATGTGTGCCATCATGCCTGGCTGTGTGGGCCCTGTCTTATCAGAATGGCAGGGGAGGTCTCGACAGGAACAGGAAGGGAACAGCGAGTGTGAGGGCCCTGCATTGGGGACCCACTGTACGGTCATGCCCTGGTTCCCTTGGGGAAGCCAGCGATCTATTAACCCGCACGTCATCGGGACAAGCTGTACTCACTGTGAATGAGCCCTTTGCTCTCCTCCGGCTGCCAATGAAGAACCGTGCTCCTCGCACAGACAAGGTGGCCGGGAAGGGCACATCAGCCATTCTGAGGACACCAGGGGGTAGTTTTAGGACACAGGAGGTCTAGACTGTACCCCATTTGTTTACCAAAAGAGCCATAATAAAGGAACACAAGTGGGCAGAGTGATCCAGAGAAATTTACTCTTGGTCTTGAGCTCAGAGTCTGAGATCAGATGCTCCACTGGGAGGAGTCCTTGACTCCGCCACCTTGTGGTGGCCTCAGTGTTCCTTGCTTGTGGACATCCCCTCACCTCTTCCTCTCTCTTCAAGCAGCTACTTCTCTGCCTCTCTCCCCAAAAGGCTCTTCTGGCTCCAGTCTGGCCCTGTCTAGATTGATTAAAAGACCCTGGTCTTAGTAGGGGCACATTCTCAGCTGCAGGTGGATGTGGGTCTGAGGCTGTGTCACCCAGGACAAGGGTCCTCTGCAGAAGCATACAGCAAGGAGGCAGCTGCCACCTGCACTGTCCTCAGCTGGGAAGGGGGCAATACCTGGAGCAGGAGGGAGGCACCTGCCTGGACACCCACGAGGCATTAGGAGGAGCAAGCAGACGCTGAACTCCGGAGAGATGGTGCAGGAAGGCAGGGGCCTGACAAAGTGACCGCATGATTGGCCCAGGGATGGAAAGCGCAGTCTGGGCCACTGCAGACACAAGCAGCTACCTGCCATGAAGCCCGCCTGGGGTTAAACCCGTTGAGTGGAGAGTTCTGCCGTCAAGGCAGCAGCCTGCAGGTGACTGTTCTGTAAGCATCCTGTCCCTGCCTGGCCCCTAGTCCCTGTGCATGGTGGCTGGACAGCACCTTTCTGACAGGCTGCAGGAGTGAGGATACAACCAGCCCAGCAGCCCGCGTGTTACCTACATGTCCACCGGGAGGCCGCAGTCTGTGGTGAGGGAGAAGGAGCCTTCAGACACCGCCAGCACCAGAGTGTGCCACTGGCTGTCCATGAGGCTGGAGCTGCGGAAGGACACGCGGGTCTGCCAGGCGCCAGCCGTGTCCTCGTGGAGGAACAGGAAGTGCAGCCGGTTGGGTGAGTAGCGCAGGCCCAGCAGCAGCGCATCCCTGTCCTCGGCCACCACAGTCAGCAGGTACTGGTTCCTCTGTGGAGAGTGGAGAGGGAGGAGCTTTGGGGGCGGAGCTCATGGGGTGGGGCTGAAGGCGAGGGGTAGGGCCAATGGCAGGAGCCGAATGTCTCTGAGGGGTGGGGCTTGTGGAAGGGGCGGGGCTGGATCAGAGGAGGGGCAGGGCTGGAGGGGAAGGAGGTAAGGCTGATTGATGGGTGAGGGCAAGGTGGACAGAAGGGCAGGGCTGACCTGAAGAGGAAGGAAGGAGGTAAGGCTGATTGATGGGTGAGGGCAAGGTGGACAGAAGGGCAGGGCTGACCTGAAGAGGAAGGAAGCAGAGGTGAGGCAGACCAGACTGGAAGGTTGGGCATGTGAGGGGTGGGGCCTGTACAGACAGGTGGGGCTGATGACTCCTCTTTCAGTAAGAGCAAAGGCACTCAGCAGGAGTGGTATGGCTACAGCACCCCTCCACGGGAAACTCCTGTGAGCTCTGTAAAGTGGTGTAGGCTGTGGAAAACAATTTAGTGTTTCCCCCGCATTAAATGCGGAGACTTGCTTTCCTCAGGGACAGTGTTTCCGTGGTGGAGATGACAACGACTTGCACTCAGTGAGGGCTCACTAACCCCGAACCGTGTGCAGGAAAGTGATCCGATCGCAGGTCTTAGGGCACATACAGTTCACCACTTTTTTTTCTTGTTACTGGGAATGGAACTCAGGACCTAGTGTGCTTGCCAGGTGGGCGCTGCACTGCTGGGCTGCATGCCCAGCCCTGAGAGCCCTTTCTAACATTGGCTGTGTGCCAGCCAAAGCTGGTCACACTCATCTGCAGAAGGGACACCTGGATTCTCAGCATAACACAAGGATGAAGAGACAAAGTGCTTAAACTGGGATGTGAGGCAGACAGCAAAGAGCTGAGCTTGTGAGTGTGAGCATACAGATCACTGTGCCAGCAGGCCTGGGCCCAGTGACACTGTGCACCCATGTTCACGGTCATGTCCTGAAGAAGGGGAAGCCCCCTGTGCTCCTTGTATGTTGCCAAAATTCCAGTTCTGCAGACCCATGTGCGACCATCCTGTGTCATTCTGGGGGCAGCAGGGACCACCTGTCTCCAGCTGCTCAACACCCTGCAGGAGAGGAACTGTGTCCCCTGGGGATGACATTTGCATGGTGACATCATGAGGACAAGTCCTCAGTGAAGGCCAGGACTACTCTTGAGCAGGCGTGGACAATGGGGGCAGGGAAGACCCACCAACCAGGTCCCTCTGTGTATGGGAGCTGGGTAGAGATGTCTGGCCCTCCAAGGGGAGGCCCTGCATCCCAGCTGTGACCCCACAGGGTGAACCACTGTCTCTTGTGACTTCTATGCTCCTAGAAATGCCCACAGCTGGAGGAGAGCCAGAAGGGCTCAGATTGTGTTCCCATGAGAATGAGAGGCAGAGAATCAGGTGGTGGGGACTTTATTAAAGGCTAGATGTGCCGACTTAGGTCCCAGGAGGAGTGAAAGAGCAGAGAACCTGGGAGGAAGGGACAGGTGACTTTGATGGAGGCAGGCTAACTCTTAACCTCCTGGAGGACTCCTGGGAGGCAGGAGATCAGGGAAGCCCAGTGGATACATGGAGGACCTTGACTCAAAGGGAATGGACAGCCTGCTAACCCAGGTCAGGACCAGGTGGTGAGGTGAAGTGATGGGCCTGGCCATGGGGTGATCTGAGCCTGTGGGCCCTGGGGAACCAGGCCAATCAGCAGCAGGACTTCTGGCCCAAGGAGAGGCCACAGCAGGCTGGGCGGGGGCAGGCGGGGCGGCAGAGCAGGGACACGGAGGAGCAGGAGGGCGTGCAGCAGCTGGGCACGCAGCAGGCCGGCTGGCAGGGGGAGCAGGAGCAGCAGGATGGCTGGCAGCAGGAGGAGGAGGCACCGGAGCAGACGGGTGTGCAGCAGACAGGCTTACAGCACACAGGTGTGCAGCAGACAGGTGTGCAGCAGGCAGGTGTGCAACAGACAGGTGTGCAACAGACAGGCTTGCAGCAGACAGGCTTACAGCATGTGGGTGTGCAACAGACAGGTGTACAGCAGACAGGTGTGCAGCAGGCAGGTGTGCAGCAGGCGGGCACACAGCAGCAAGGCTGGCAGGAGGAGGAGCAGCAGGCAGGCTGGCAGCTCGACTGCTGGCAGCACGTGGGTGTACAGGAGCCGGTGCAGCCTGACTGGCAGCATGGGGTGCAGACCAGGCTCAGGCAGGGGGCTGGGGCGCAGCAGCTGGGCTGGCAGCAACTGGAGGTGCAGCAGGGGGGCTCGCAGCAGCTCTCTGGGCAGTCGTCCAGCTGCCAGGGTTCGGTGCAAGCGCTGGAGCAGAGGGACATGGTGGAGGCGGCCATGGCGGGCTGGGCTGGAGGATGAGTGTGAGTGAGTGAGTGTGAGTGTGAGTGTGAGTGTGTGAGGTGCTCTGGTCCCCGGGCTTTTATACCAGGCAGGCTGTGTGTTATTCCTGCTTGAGGCTCCAGTGCTCCAGGCTCCTTTTCCTTGTTTCTGTCTCTCTCCTTGTTGTTCCTTTCCTTGTTTCTGTCACTGTCCTTGTTTCTGTTCTTTTCCTTGTTTCTGTCCCTGTCCTTGTTGCCGTCCTCTCCTGGTCGTCCCTTTCCTTGTTGGTGTTTTGAGCTGAGTCCTGGTGCCTTGTTCACTGTATTTTATGCAAAGAGCCGCTCAGCCTGTGGATGCGAGGTGGTGGGCAAGGGCTGGGTGATGCCCTGATCTGTGCTTGCTCCTCCAGGCAGATGTCTTGAGGATGGGGGACCTGTACTTGCTGCCGAGGAGGTGAGGGGACAGAGCCCAGATTGCTGGCCACGGAGCAGCTGTGGAGCATGTGGGAGGTGACAGAGCAGCACCAAGGGGGACAGTGGGCCAGGAGGTGGCACCAGACCCACATGCCACCATGGAGGTGGCCTGTGACAGAAAGTTTGAGACACAGATTCCCAGGAAGACAGGCTCTGCAGAACAGGCGACCACTGGGGTGAGACGAAGGCTCCCCAGAATCCAGGGAAATGTTGACCTCCGGACTGGAAATTTCAGCCACATCTGGGACAAATGAATGGAAGCTGGTGTCTGTCTGACTGCAAAGATAAAACCCTGAAAGCTTCCCGCAAAACAAAAGAGGAAAAACAAAGAGGAGCACAAAAATCAGGGAAAGTCAGTCAAAGGCTCTGAGCTTCTTCAGGAGAAGCAGACGCAGCTGCTGAGGTTGACCTCTTGGGAACTGGTGGTGAAGTGACCCCAGTCCACCCTTGGCGGGCTGTGACTCTAAGAGTCAATTGTGACAGTCCTGTGTCAGCCACCTCAGTCCAGAATCCCTACCCCTCACTGCTGCCCTCCTGTGAGAGGAACAGATTCCAGTTCCACGGTCTGTGAGCAGGGCCTCTTGGCTGTGTCTCTGCTAGAAACCATGGACGCTGGCATTCGGGGCCCAGTTCTCTACAGGGCCAGCTGCACCCCACCCTAGAACCCGCTTGTTCACTTAGACTCGCCCACAGGGTTCATGCAAGGTGCCGCAAGCATCAGATCGTTTATTCCATGTGGCGGGGGAGGGTCCGCAGCGTGGACGCCATAGTCTGTGTGTCCTGCAGGGGCAGAGGGTGGGCTCGTGGTGCCCACCGTGAGGATTCTGAGCCAGGCGGCTGTGACGTGCAGTCCATGCGCTCTGTTTTGGAGGATGCTGAGCTTTCACCTCCTGGAGTGGACACCCAAGAGTGGCCTGCTGGGCCACATGTCAGCGTCTGTGTGGCCTCGTGGTTGGCAGAGTGACAGTGCCTCTCGCACTACACCCTGCGAGAGCTTGTGCCCTGTCCTGCCCGCACTCGGGACTGCTGGTGTGTTGGTCTTTGCCATCCTGGAGACAGGAATGCCATCTGCTGTAGTTTCGGGTTTCCTTGTGCCCAGGACTAATGAGGGGTACCTCACTCATTTAACCTGCCTGTTACTGGGCTGTTGTCCAGAGCACTCACGCTTCCCCATGGCAGGGAGTTCTAGGTCCTCCTGTCCTGGTCACACTCGGCATGGGGTCCTAACCTGAGCTTCTCTGGTGACTGAGGATGTGGAGCGCCTCCTGCCTGTGGCTGGCCATCCACACCTCTTCCCTGGCAGTGTTTTCCTTTGGATTTCAAAGTTCTCTGTGTCTTTTGGAAACACATGCTCTGGTCAGATTTGCAAATATTTTCTACCCACCTGAGCCCTGTCTTCTCATTCCTGCAACAGTGCATTTTAAAGAACAAAAGAGCTTAGTACTGGTGAAGGCTACTTTATCAACTGCTTTGTTTTCAGACACAAACATCTTAAAATTTTACTTCCATGTCTAGCCATCATGTTTTGATGGCTATGCTCAATTATTATTTTGCATGTTTCATGGGACATTATTTGAAATTCAGCTTTCTTGTTTTCAGTAATGTGCAATTGTTTCAAATATTTCTTTCTTTCCTTCAGTTTCCTTTGTTCTTTGGTCAGAGTTAGCCACCTTTTTCTGAGTCTGTCTGCTTCTCTCTTCTCTCTCTCAGATTTGTGCCACTATTTTTGCCACATTACATTGTCTTGATTCCTGTGGATTCTAGAAAACCTTGAAATCAAGAAGTCATGTCCTCACCTTTGATGCTTTTACACAGTTTAAATTCACTTGTCTCAGGAAGGACATTTTATTTTATTTTTGTTATTTTGGTGTTTTTGAGACAGGATCTCACCATTCTAATCAGACTGGCCTTGAATTCACTTTGTTTTCCAGGCCGGCCTTGAACTTGCAGCAGCCCAGCTGCCTCAGCCTCCTGAATATTGGGATAACAAGCATGTTCCACCTGCTAGGAAGCCTAGGCTAGGAGGGACATTTTAGTATCAGCGTGTTGATATCCAGAAGCAGGGAGCCACAGCATGTCACGTCCATGCCTGGGGCACCTGAGGGCTTCTTAAAGATGGAACCTGCTGTTGAGCACAAGCACAGAGTGGGATGAACTCCCGTGAACATGGCTCAGCGTTAGACCATCACACACGCGCCAGTGAAGCTGGCATGCAGGAATGCAAACATGTGACAACAGCAGGCGTAAAAATGAAGCAGCGAAGCTGCAGCCTGGCTTGCTCTGCTCTGCTCCCTGCGGCCTGCTGTTGTCGCTGATCTCTGCCTGTGTGCTTTCTTTGGGGACCTTACCGTGAAAATACTCCTCAGCCCCTTCAACCCCTACAGAATAAATCTCTGCTGAAGTTTTAACCGGGGCTTCTCAGAACTGCAGATGGACTGAAGGAGCCGAATGTGGCAGCAGCTATGCGCACCCCACAGGGGCCAGAGTCCGAGGCCCTGCTTGTTTAAGTCTCATTTGGTTTCCTTCATGGTGTCTTCCTCAGTTACACATTCTGTTAGACAGTGCATTGTCGTTTTATTCTGGTATAAGTCATACTCCTAATGAGCATCATTGAGTTCTTAGTGTTTATCGCAGTGAGTTGGACACAGCGAGGTTTTGCGGCTTTTGTTACTTGGAGTTGGCCTCTGCCATCCTGGCTGCACAGCCTTACAGTGCCAGGCATCTTCCTGCTGACTTCTGGGGACCCTGTGGATGCGCCTGTCCTCTGTGCAGAACAGCATGGTAAATGTGCTCAGAGACGGCAGGGATGACGCTGTCTTTCCCTCTGCAACATGTGTGCCTGTGTTTGTCTCCCCTGCTCTCGCCAGGATGACTGCCAGTTGGGGTGACAAAGGGTTGCTGCAGCGGATGCCTGCACCTCTGCTGGCCAGAGGGGAATCGTTCAGTACTGGACTACTGACAGGGAAGTGGGCTGTTCCCCTGAACATCTGATACCAGGCTAAAAACAGGCTGACCTATCTCTAGTTCCTAGAGAGCATTTGTAAAAATCAGACTTCATGGATTTTGTACATGTCCTGTGTATCTATGGATATAATCATACCATTTCCTCCTCAGTCTGTTCACACAATGAACCATGCTGACAATCACAGTTGGTTGGGTTTTTAATCATGAGATAGTCTTACATCCCTGAGACGAACCTGACCTGTCTTGTCCTTTTGACAATTATTGTGTGTTGTATGCTAATATTTTGTTGCGGATTTGGGGTCTAAATTATGAGGAATATCATTGTGTTATGTCTCCATGAGAAAATAACACAGCGTTATTTTCTCTCCATGGTCCTGGATATCAGAGTGTGGCCGACCCTTAGAAGGCATGGCCATGTGCTCTGCCTTCCGTGTTCTGGGAGAGATGGTACAGAGCTGTCACGGGTCCGTTCTTTAAATGTCTTGGCAGAGCACGTCAGTGAGCAATCTAGATCCAAAGGCTTCTTTATCAGAATGATTTAAACTGAGAGAGGACATGGAGGAAGTAGGCGGAGAGGCCTGGAGTGGAAGAGTCTTGGGACACTCTGTCTGATAAGCACTGACACCAAAACATGCAAAGAAATCTGAGAACTCAGCAGGAGAACAAAGAACCCAGCTGAGAAGGGGCAAACAAGTGAGCAGAGGCTCGCCCCAGAGGGCACACTGGTGGCACACAGCCTATGACCAGGTGCTCAGATCACACATCATTAAGAATCTGGAAGTCACACTAAGGTTCAGCCCCACAGCGCACCTGCTGCAAAGGCCCCAGTCACTGTGTCAAGGCTGTGGAGCAGCAGGAGCCCTCCCTCAGCACTGTGGAAATGCAGAGTGGTGCAGCCATGCCGTGAGGTGGTTGTGTTGCTCTGAAGAGCACCAAACACGCTCTTATGGCCCAGCAGTGGCTTCCCTGCTCCTTACCCACAGGAGCTGGGAAGTCAGGTCTACAGGGAAATCTGGGACAGATGAGGACAGCAGTTCCTTCACAGCTCTTCAAGCTGGGAGGCACCAAGTGCCCTTTAGTGTGAGTGGATAGATGGTGGCAGCCCTGGAGAGCAGGTAAGAGATGGTATTGATGGGTGTTACCAGCACCAAGGTCTGCCAGGATCAGAGTGGCACCTGCCCAACACAGCGCTGACCCCTCAAACAATATGGCATCTCTCCTACACTAACTCCCACACTGGCTCCTGGTCCCAAAACAAACTTTCTGCCTCCTTTCTGCAGGTGCCAAGGGGCCTCCAGTCCACCTGACACCGTCCACTCAGGCCGTCCCCACCCCTTTCCACTCCCCTCAAAGTGAGTCCCCGGCTTTGTCCCCTGTGAGGGTCCTCACATTCCCAGCAACCCTCTTACTCTGGCCTGAAGGCTCTTCATCTCTCTCTGTGTTTCTCTCAACTGCGCCAAAAACCTAACAATTACTGAGTGCGGGAAGGGATTATTGAGACATTAACCATCCCAGAGGGGGCTCGGTGTCCAGGAGGCAGGGAGGGCAGCTGGGTGTCCGAGGCTGTGTTATGTGGGACTCCCATGAGGCAGTGTTGGGATGGGGAAGGTTTGAGAACAGCTGAAAGTCGGGGTGGTAGGCTGGGAACAGGGAGCGATACTGGAGCCCAGAGGGGTGTCAGTGCTGGAAGGGGCGTCTGCAGAGGTCTGATGGATACCGGTCAGGTTCAGAGTTGCAGAAACCACAGCACCAAGGGAGTACCCCGTTGCTGGGTGATGGCAGCAGGGGATTGAGTTGGTGAAAGTGTCCACCTCCTGAGCAGGACGGTGAGGGGACCTGGCCCGGGGCAGAGGGACCCCCACATATTTGGCCATGGACTGAGCTGGCTCTGAAGGTGAAGTCTGTTAAAAACGGATGCAGGACGTGAAGGCGGCCTGGGTGTTGTTCTGTGATCTTGGTGTTTGCGTCTCCATAAGGAGCCCACATCCTCTCACTGCCCACCCTCTGCACAGACAGAACGTCCTGGTCACTTCTACCCCAGCCCCGATGTCCTGGGTCATGTCTTCCCCATCTTCCACAGCTGCAAACGGTCACCAAATTCGTCTCCTGGAGAATGAGCGCTGCTTTCCTTGGCTGCCACATTGTCACTATTTGTCCCTGTTTATCTGCTAGGATTTTTACTTCACAGCTCACACCTGGCAGGGGTGGCTGGAATCTTTTTTTTTTTTCTTTTTCCTTTTGATCGGTACCAGGGATTGAACTCACGACAGCCTGCTTGTAAGGCAGGTGCTTATGCCGCTGAGCTAAATCTCCAGCCCGGTGGCTGGAATCTTATTTGTCCACTTTAAACTCTTTCCCTCTTTTCGCTGTTGCATGTAAAAGTGCTCTTCTTGCAGGACGGTTGGGATTTTGCTCGAGGACCCGGCCTATGACCGTGCCCTCCCACCCTGCAGCAGGACTTGCGGCCACGCAGAGTGCAGTGCCTGGGTGCCCTGCAGCTAACCTGGTGTGCTGCTTCTTTCTCTTCCCTGTGCCTCTGCTTAGGATGTGAACCCTTGCCAGGCTGTCAGTGCTGTTCATTTCTGGGGTTTGCACCATCTATCTGAGGTTAATTTCTCCTGTGAGTTCCACCTCAGACATAGTAGGTGTCCTCCCTGCGTGTCCTTTTTCTCCTTCTTCTTAATGAATGTGCTGCCTTTCTTGCCCTGAATACAGGGAACTAGTGATGACTCCAGAGTGATCCCACACCCCGGAAAGCTAGTAGCTCGCCTTCTGTCTGCTCATCCTGACATGGTGATATCTTCCCACCCATCCTTGTGCCTGCTGACTTTCCAGTGACCTTCACTACTGGACAGAGCACTGCATAATGTACTTAGTGCCTTGGGAAGTTTGCTCTGAGGCTGCAGGGACCTGTTAGGCACAGACCAAGGACTCATCCCCACTTGTGGGTGCCCAAGTCCCAAGTGACAAGGTCTTCCCTCTTCCCCAGCCCTGAGCCTCTAGGGCCCCACTGCTCCCTGGTGCTCTGTCCTGGACATGGCCCTAACTCTAACCCAGTGACTCCAGGAGAGTTAGCCACTGTCCCTTGTAACTCCTCAGCTAATTCCCTAGCTCCCAGGAACATCCATGGCTGGAGGAGACCCAAGTCCAGCCAGACCGTGTGTCCCTATGAACACAAGAGGCAGAGAATCAGGTGATGGGAAGTTTATTGATTCTGTGAGGAGCTGACAGGGTGAGGTTCAGGGCAGGTGACAGAGCCAAGGTCCCCAGAGGAAGGGATCAGGGCCGCATAGTGGACATGGTGGGGGCCCTGTCCTCAGAAGAGGCAGGAGCCTGCAGACCTGGGTCAGGATGAGGCTGAGAGGTGGAGTGAGGCACCTGGCCATGGGGTGACCTAAGCCTGTTGGGGGACAAGGCCTTCAGCAGCAGGACTTCTGGCCCAAGGAGAGGCCACAGCAGGCAGGGCGGGGGCAGGCGGGACGGCAGAGCAGGGACACGCAGGAGGATGGGTGGCAGCAGCTGGGCTGGCAGGACGAGGCACAGCAGGAGGAGGAGGGCAGGCAGCAGGCGGGTCTGCACACAGGGCGGCAGAGCAGGGACACGGAGGAGCAGGAGGGCGTGCAGCAGCTGGGCACGCAGCAGGCCGGCTGGCAGGGAGAGCAGGAGCAGCAGGCAGGCTGGCAGCAGGAGGAGGAGGCCCCAGAGCAGACAGGTGTGCAGCACACAGGCTTACAGCACACAGGTGTGCAACAGACAGGTGTGCAGCAGGCAGGTGTGCAACACACAGGCTTACAACAGACAGGTGTGCAGCAGGCAGGTGTGCAGCAGACAGGTGTGCAGCAGGCGGGTGTGCAACAGGCAGGCACACAGCAAGACGGCTGGCAGGAGGAGGAGCAGCAGGCCGGCTGGCAGCTCGACTGCTGGCAGCATGTGGGTGTGCAGGAGCTGGTGCAGCCTGACTGGCAGCATGGGGTGCAGACCAGGCTCAGGCAGGGGGCCGGGGCGCAGCAGCTGGGCTGGCAGCAGCTGGAGGTGCAGCAGGGGGGCTCGCAGCAACTCTCTGGGCAGTCATCCACCTGCCAGGGTTCGGTGCAAGCGCTGGAGCAGACAGACATGGTGGAGGCAGCCATGGTGGGGTTGGGCTGTGGGAGGGTGTGAGTGAGTGTGAGTGTGAGTGTGTGAGGTGCTCTGGGCTCCGGCCTTTTATTCCTTCCCTGTCACCGTGTCCCCAGCTCTGCTTCCTTATCGCTGACCTGTCTTGTTGTCGTCAGAATGTTTGTTTTCAATCTGTGTGGCTTGTGAATTTCCTGCTCTGTCTCCAGGAACAGGAGTGGGGTGACCGTAGCCATGTGGTCTGGAGTGCTGAGCGCTAAGGTGTTAGTAGGCCAGCATCCAGGCCTAGTGCACCCCTGTTCTGATCCTGCAAAGCTCGGTTTGGGCTGTAACCACGCAGCAGCTTCACCCGCCCCAGGCCACCTCCTGGCAGTTGTGCCAGCTTCCGAACCTGAGCTTCCCCACCCCAGCTCTGCTGTGGGTGCCCCTCCCCAGTCTCTGTTAAATTACGCCCACAGTTTGGCACAGATGTGGTCCACAGGCTCCCCTCCCGGTGGATGCCCATGATGGTGTCTCCAAACCCGTCATAGCCTTCTTTCCAGTGGGCATGTTGGTCATGGTTCACCTTTATCGTCGAAACACATCCATGTCTTTGTCAGTACAGAACTAGATGTGCTGTGAGTTGTCACTGGGACTCACTCTGTTACCCTGAACCTGGCAGAGCTGAAGCCTGAATCTCACTAATACTGGGGACAGCCCCCACCCACCAGGCTGTTTCGTGAGACACAGGAGGACCCTGTGGCCACCTACTGCACCTGGTGTAACCTGCCGAGGCGGTCAGAAGCAGGGGTGCATCCCCACGGTCTTCTGCAGCTCCCTGCTTGGCCGTGGCATCAACCCCCAAAGTGGGTCCCTGAAAGAGCAGGAGCAGAGACTGCAGCGTGGACCAGCCACACAGACAGTGGCCCCAGACCGGGGAGGCCCAGTGCTGCCGCTCACACCTGTGCCCAGCACTGCAGAGGACACAAGGGCCACAGCAGGGAGGAGGGACTCAGGCAGAGAAGCTTCCACACCATCCCTGTGGCCCGGGGAGGGGAGAGCTCAGGCCCCAGTTAGGGAGATACTCAGCCCTGCCTGGTGTGGCTCCTGCTGTGCTGAGCTAAGGACAGTGCATTGGTCATCACTGGCCTTCTTCCGGGGGGCTCTGTGCTCTTCTGATTAGAGTCTCTGCTGCTCCCTGCTTACACTCTCCTCGCCTCCCACATGAGAGGCATCCTGAGGGCCACACACCGCCTCTTTCTCCATCTGATCTGCAGGCGCCCAAAGTGGTGGTGACACCCAGTAGATGCTGACAAAAATAGATTGAAAAGAATGAATCTTTTTTGGTAAGGAAATTATTGAGGTGTAAATTAAAAAAAAAACTTTGTCTTTTGGTCTTTTTTTGGGACAGGGTCTTGCTATACAGTGTAGGCTAACCTTGAACTCTCTTTGTAGCCCATGCTGGTTTCCAGCTTACAAGGATCCTCCTGCCTCAGGCTCTTGCGCTCTGGGATTTCAGGCATGCCCTTCCACAACAGGGTGAAGTTTGGGTTCTGAAAATGATTATTGGGGCCACCCTTCCTCATGCAGTGTGAACTGCTCTGCCACACTGAGCTCCCTCAGGGGAGCTGGCTTGTTCATCCTGGCTGCCTGGTGGACCAGGATGAGGTCGCCTGGGTAACAGAAATCCTGAGTGGAGGCTGCAGGAGGCTCAGGGCAGTGGACCCCAGAGAGACCAAATGCACTGGGGGAAGGCACCAGGGCAGAGTGGCCTCCTGGGACTTCTTCCTGGGGCCAGGTCACAGCCCAGAGGCTGCGGGGCTGAGCAGGGCTTTTCGTCTCCTCAGAATGGCAGAGAAGTGAGAGCGCAGGACCTGAGGAGTCGGGCAAATCTGCTGAAGCAGCCAGAGCTTTAATTTGATTGCAAACCCTGGACATGAGTGGAGCGCTGGGCCCTGGGGGAGGGCGAAGCAGAAGTAAGCCGCACCCATCCCTGAGACAGCACAGGCTGCACGCAGGTGGCCTCCTGTAGCAAAGCTGTCTGCTGGAAACAGCGGCTCGTCCTCTCTGGAGCCAGGACACATTGACAGAGACTCAGATGACCTTGGTATATTTTCATTCCCTGCATCTTCCTTCATGTTACTAGGCTCTCAGTTGGTATTACCAGGCACACTAGAAACATGAGCAACTGCCACAGGACTGAGAAGAAAGCAAGCATTGCAGACAGGCCTGCAGGAGACCTCGATGTATGCATAATCAATCTTTTGCTTAGAGAGCTGTGGGGGTTTCCTCTCAGGAAAACTAGGGGAAAGTTGGACGATTTCAGAGGCAACTTGGATTCCATAAAAAAGAATCAAACGTAAAGTTTAGAAGTGAAGAGCACAGTGAGTGAAGTCAGAGCAGAGCAGGCTCAGTTAACAGCAAAGTAAACACAGCCACAGAGATTAGTGGAGGATGGGAGGGAAGGAGATATGGAGACTAAGCCCGGAGAAGGGAGGCGATGGAGAGGAGGAGCAGAGCACCACACAGGAGGGACCCGCCCGGGAAATGGCTCCAGTTCTAGGAAGAGGACGTGAGTGGGGCTGTAAAGATTTTCAGATAAAATAGCGCTTTACATGGTCAGAGGGCATTGGCTCACAAGTGCAAAGAACGTTCCAGAAACCACAGCCAGGCACATTGAGGCTGGAGTCCAGGGACAGAGGAAAAGTGAAGAACAGTAGGGGGAGAGAACAGAGACCCAGCGCCTCAGGAGACAGTGGCCAGCAGGCATCCTGGTG